TAAAACACCTTATTAATTTTTTGAATTGACATTTGAAGCAAGTTTGATATCTGCTTTTAAACTGTAATGGAAAATTTATATGTTTTTAAAAGATCTTTTCTTCGTTTGGTATGTTAAAGATAAACTGATGCTATTTTAACCTTTTCATTCACAGGCGTCTAGAAAACTTGGTTTTCCAATTCTTTATGGGGATGGATCACGTCCAGCAGTTTTGCAATCTGCTGGTATCTCTTGCCCAAAAGCTGTCATGGTTATGTACACTGCAAGAAATAAAACAACTGAGGCAGTTCAAAGCCTTCGACTTGCTTTCCCTGCGGTAATGTTCTCTCTCCTCCTTGTTTGTCCATCCATTATACGCACATAAGATGTAATCATACAATGTAAACAGAAATATCCTTGTCTATTGCAGCATGGATTATCATTGAACTGAGTTTATCTAGTTTTGGAATTCCATTTCAAAGGACATTCAGTGGTTTTGAAATCCATTTTCCAGATGAAGCATGAAATTCTAATAGAGCAGTTGTCTTTCCTCTTCTTTTTGGTTATATATTTATCTCTACAGTTTATTAGTTATTAAAATATTTCTGTATATGGTTTCCCACTGACTCTGATACATGTCTCTGTGTATTCGTGTGTGGGGGTTCTCATTATGCATTAGAATGCTCTTCTACATTCGTCGGGCTCCTGGGATGGTTTGGTTATACATCATGCTCTGTGCCTAGTGAGATTGACAGCTTGGAGCTGACAGTATCTTGGTCGGGTTTGAGTTTTTATGCAAGGAACTCAGAGTGAATAAGGGATTGAGCAGATAATTTTGAGGGTTTCTTTTATTTTTATTTTCTATTCTTATAAGAGACAGATTTTTTAAAGCCTCAAAAGCAGAGAGGCATAGTGAACTAGATATCCACCAAAACAATACAAGAAAAACATATATAACAAAATCAAGACCAAAACCTCAAGTGCCAAACCCACAAACAGAACACATCCCTATCTTACAGCAGCTACTGGGTTTGACCATAGAATGAACTCGGAGGTTAGAATAAGAAAATATACTTATATTGAAGTGAATTGTAGAACCAATAAATGTGAATTGACATCTCAATCTAAGAGTCCCAGTCCTTTCCTGCCATACATAGTACCAGCTCAAGTGCTCTGAAGGCTAAATTCATTCCAATTAATAATTGACTTTAATTTTAATTTTTGGATCTTAGATTGATGTCTATTCTGTTCAGATCTTAAATCCTTTTCTGTACTCTTCCTCCTTGGTTTGAATGTCAATTTTATGGTGAAAATTCTAAATTTACAGGTCCCAATTTATGCCAGAGCTCTAGATCTCAAGCACCTTTTAGATCTGAAGAAAGCGGGTGCAACAGATGCTATTCTGGAAAGTGCAGAGGTATCAAATTAATTGATTGCATTTGTTTGAATTATTGAATTTGATAAGTCTTTTTATGATATAACTTTGTACCTAACTAAATATTTTAATTCATGCAGACAAGTTTGCAGCTGGGCTCTAAGCTTTTGAAAGGGTTTGGAGTTATGTCTGATGATGTGAACTTTCTCCGTCAGCTCATTCGTGATTCAATGGAGCTGCAAGCTCAAGAAGGAGTGAGCACAACTGATGATAGAGAACTTA